TGAACGTCCGACGTACACGTTTTCGCGTTGAAAACGTCGGCCGCAACCTCTCTATTTATTTACTATTTTTACTTTTCCTTCTCTGTTATATCTAACAGAGGTCGGTCAAAAAATGGCCTCGCGACTTTAGATTTTTGAACTCGGGACACCGCGAAACGTCGACAAATGCAAACAAATTCCAGGGTTTTTCTGTACGTATAGTGCGTTTTGTCCACTCTGTTTGAAGTTTAATAACTCCCGCGCTTTTTGTCAAAAATTTCTTAAATTTTGCATAGAGATTTGGTTATTAGGGGATCGATGCCGTTAAATTTTGGTGGTCGAAGGTGGTGGGGACATATAAATGGGTCACGCGTCGTATTTCGAGAGGGGACAGACCTAATAAAGAGTTTACTCGTTATTAGCATTTACAAATTAAAAAAAAAAAAAAAAACATTAAAACTCATTCCTACCTTCAAAATTAGGCATTTTGCCATTTTATAATGCAACGGAGCATAGATTATCCGAATACCTATCGAGCAAAAGCGTTCGAATTTCCACTAGTGCTGTGGCTCTGCAATATTTGCCTGTCTCGACCAGAGTTCAAACTTAGCTAGAGCCAGTATTTGCCGCTAGTTAGCGCCTCGGTCGGTAGAAGAGCTTTTTCTGGCTTGGGATATACTGGCGAGTCAGTCATTTCCACCTATAATACTTGTTTTTTACGCTACGTAAAAATGTCGGCGCGCTTTGTGCCAGGATGCGAGGCGGGATATAAGTCATCGAACGACGAGAGACATTTCGTCCGTGTTCCTAGCGATAAGATCGAAGCGTGGATGCCACGCATTCCACCAGACCACAAGGTGCTAACAAGTAATTGTTACGTTTGTGACGTACATTTCACGAGTAAATTTATTTTAAAAACTTACTTTCGTGTTATAAATGGAGAGAGGGTAAAAATTCCACGCGATCGCGGGGCATTAGCGTCGGACGCGTATCCATCGAAGTGGCCCACCGGTGGCCGAGCGGTTCCGTTCGCCCAACGCTAGGCGTTCGGTGGTGGGTTAGTGCCCGGCCACGCGGAGTTATCCGTGTTTTCTCCGCGTCCGTAAGGCCCGAATACGGATCGATTACCCTTAAAAGCGTTCCCCTTAGGCGGGTCGCTCCAGTGTGGCGTCGCCGTAATTTTACAAAACAAACATCCGTGTCGCATCGTAACCCTTCTAAGTAAGTACATTAGTAAGTTCGTGCCTGAAAAACGACCAACGCAACGTCTAACAACAGACGAAGAACCATCTAGGAAGAGCTGACAAAAATATAATACCAAAGGTAATAAACGTTTGTTATCTAATCTTAAAGGAAGGTGGGACGACGGATAGAAAAGCGTTAGGGCGCGACTGCGCGGAGTCGAATTTAATAGCGAGCGATAGTTCTGGCGAAGGGAAACAATGCGCGAGCGAGAAGCGAGAAATCTGGCCGGCCAGAGCGAATTTCTGCTTGTCGCGCGTACCTGACAGGAGCTTTAAATAACTTTACCGAAAATCGGTGCACTACAACTTTAGAACGATGAATGAAATGTGATATCAAACTCCCATTAAATAAATAATTAATTGTTAATCACGCTTCATTAAAGGTAGATTAAAATCGCGATAAATTTTTTTCGCGAGGGAAAAAATTTTTGGAAAAATTTGGAGACTTAAAAAACATTCCAAAGATGCAAAAAAATTTTTTTGGGAAGCCGAAAGGACCGAGTTTTCTGTAACGCTACGTAACCTGCCCGAGTTACCTCGTGTGGATTTAGTCCTCGATCGAACAGTCGAAGGGGAATCGGTAACATTCGCATCCGGTAGCGGATTCGGAAATCTTTAGAGCTGGTTGAGAAAGGAAAGAATACGAGTTAGAAAGTTTGTTTGCTATCCGAAGAACTTTTCTGAAAAACACCCAAAACGGGCGTTTTTCGGAAAAGACAGCTTGGATTCGGACAGAAGAGGCCAACGAGGCCTCTTTTCCGGCTTAAACGCCCGAGAAATTCGACGTTCGATCGGATTTACCTCTGTAAAGTGCATTTAGTTATCGAAGGGTCGAAAGTCGTTATCGCGCGATGACGAAGGACGCGCGATAGAGTTAGATTGACTACGTCACCGTCGCTATTTATTTAGGAACGGAGCGACGAAGATCGCTTAGAAAAGAATGGAAACCGTTTTGGCCGTGGTGGCGCTAATAGCGATCTATTCCGTCCATCGTCTCTTCGCGCGGGCCGGCGCAGACGAGAAGTCAACTCGTACAGGTATCGTCACTTCCTCCCTTACGTTATTGTTTATAAAGTAACTCGCAGCCGGAAACGCGGAGGTTAACTTATAACTTCCGGAATTACGTACGGATGGCGAAAATCGATAACGCCTCTCTATTTCCGATCCTCGACGGAACTCGAACAATTCGTAAACGGGGGTAGAAGTCACGCGGAGTTGTAGAAATGTTGTGAGTGTGCGGGAACGGTGCGACGTAATTAAAGGAGATGACGCCATTGAAACGACCTTTACCGTTTGATAGGAGGAAAAGCCGGGATTCGAGATAAAAAAAATCATTTTCCGGGGCGTTCTACTCGATAGCATTGTATTTCTTATCGGGCAAAAAATTGGGTTTCGCGCGGTAGTTCAGTAAAGATGCCGATTAAAACTATTTTTACATCAATATGGACGAGAATGACGAAATGTCGGATGTCGGATAACTGGTTCGAATCGGTAAGTTATCGGGATTAAACCGCGAGTTTATTTCTTATGTCCAGGTCGAATATCGAAATAAACACACGCAGAAAAACATTTTCTATCGCTCGATTCTCTCTTATATACTTTTCATCCTTTCGGTCTATAACTTTACGCTCATTCCTCCGAACGGGCATTCGGACAGACCCAGAATTTGATTACTTTTCGAAGATAAAAGCCAGGATTTTCATAAAATTTCCAAGTATAACTTAGAAAATTGATTGGCAAATTACATTTCGGTCGTCTCGGACAGGCGTTATACGCGGGTTTCTCCACCATTCGCTCATTCCGTTTGCTTAGATTTAGTCAATAGTGGTTTTTAAAAACATAAATTTATTGTTTTCGTCATAGAGGAGTTTATACGTAGGTAAACTGCGTGGAAATTTTATAATCGACAGAGAAGACAATAGTTTTTATCGGCGATTGTGAAAGTGCGATTAAATTATCAGCCATTATTATTACAATTTCTGTTATAAATAAAAATGACGATTTTATTGTTGGAAGCGACCAAAACGAATTCTTTATCGTATTTGTTATCTTTCGAAATTTGCTGTCCGTTTTCATACCAGGCCGGGATTTTTTACTCGGACAGAGGAATCTGAATGTCGATAAGAAAAAATGTTTTTCACTTAATTGTAAATACGATATTCGCGTTTTTCATGAACTATAGAGGGCGCCGCATTTTTACAAAATGGCTGGTAATTAGTAATGTAAAATTAATCATATATTACTGTCCGATATAATGATATACGCTGCCCGTAGCTGTTTATCGAGAAATTTTATAGAAGGAGAACAATTATTGTTAGCGGGACACGTCATTATGTGGTATGGAAACAAATGAGCGAGACGTTCTGTACATGTTTGTGCTTTTTGTGTTAAAAAACATCGAGTTTGACATTGTCCCATCGGGGCCGGATTTACAAGTGAAAAGCCTCGACTTTCGAGGGACCTCAAACATTTGTACAAAAAAGAAAATTGAAGTCAGGTTTTTACAAACCGACAAAATATACTTCACTGTTTATTTTGTGTAGTATTTCACTGATTTTTTCTAAGAATTAACATAAGATATTTTTTTTAAAAAATTGATAACACCAATTTAAAAAAAAGATTTTTAATGGAATGGGTACAAAAATTTAATTAAACTTAATTATAAAACAGAAGAGTAGTAAAACCTCGCGTCTTTTTCTTCCAATATCCGTATTAAATCAGAGTCTGATTTAATTCTTTTCTTTTTACGATTGACTTCTAAAATCGTGAAGGGTTGGTAAGGGGCCTTACAGATTTCGGCTCTGGGCTTCGAAATGCTTAAATCCGACCCCGTGTCCTACACAAAATTACCGGCATTTTAAACTTTAACAAAATATGTTTTAAAATTGACGGCGTAACTTGTTCGTGTAAAGCTGGATAATCGGGAAACTGCCAATTCTTAACAGTCTAATCCACTCTTTCAGAATTCATAAATATAACCCATCAATTTCCGAATAATCATCTGTTTTTCCCGTTTTTCGTGTGGGAATAGACGAAAACTTAAATCAGGCTCTCGTTTGGAACCAACAGTAAGCGTTGCTTTTTCTATCGCTTTCCATCTTTACCGCTGATAATACACAAGAATGAATCCAACCACCCAGATAGAATAGTTTTATTTTTAAACACCAGAGGGCGAGCATCCGGTGAAAAGTCGATAGGTCTACCGCTCTGTAAGCTGTGAGTTGCCGTTAGCTGGCGCTATAATAGTGTTTCTCAACGGGGGCGATATTGCCCCCATGTGGGCGTTTTTCCATGCTGAGGGGGCGATTAGTAACAATTTATATTTTCGGGGGCGAAAAACAATTTTCTGGCGGTATAGTAAAACATTATATTAAGAATAATTGAATATTTTATTGGTTATATCGTACAATAATTAAACAAATAACATTAAACTAGTCACTAGTCTATTCGATGCAGTACGAATTTGGCGTTAGTCTTGGCCCTCGGCATCGGAATTTTGAAGTGACGGGGGCGACGATTCGTTAGAGGTTGAGAAACACTGCGCTAGAATCTCATTAATAAACGCAACATCGATTGCGAATAATATACGTCGAAGCTCTTTTCTTACCACAGACTCAATATTAATTTAAAAAAAAACATATGGGCTTAACCTCGATAAACTGCAGAGCTACCCTAAATCCTAAATCTATCCTACGTTAACACTCGATTTAACATTTCTATACATTTCCATAATTTAATGTTTATAATTCTCATCAATCCCTTTTCTTCCTAATTTAGAGAGTTGTCGAGAAAACTCCAGGCATCTCACGCTAATAACGTATACATATTTTGACTACAAAAGCGTACTTTTAAAAGAAAATGGCGCGAGAACGCGTGTCCAGCACGAATTGACAACTCTACTTAAGTTTTGCGCTTATTCGCCGAAATGACTTTTTACGCTACGTTTTTCTGTTACCCGATAAATACGCCAGTCGTGTATTTACTTTTACGAACGCGGTTACGAATGACGAGGCGCGAGTTCTTAGGTGTTTGTAGAGTCGAGTGAAGGATTGAAGCGAGGAGTTAGGAAGGATTTTTTTAAATAGGAAATTGACTTCTATTTAGTGTGAGAAAGTCGAGTATGTCAGAAAACTCCGCGTGGTTAACCCATTGTTCGAGCGCCAACAATATCGGTGTTCGGTGTAGTCGGCGTTTGTTCTCTAATATTTTTACAACTATTGTGAAAGACCACGAATTAAAAATCATAGAAATAGAAATGAAATATTTAATAAATGTTAAAATATTCATTTTTCTAAGGAATAAAACGTGTTCTACATATTTACACCGAAATTGTGTTTGTAAACACGTTTTCTTATCGAAATGAATTTTATCAAACTAAACAGTTATAAAAACACGAGATAATATCTTATAATTAAGATAACATACGTCGATGCTCTTTCGAATCAATATTTATCGGGTTAAATACTCTGTTGGCTCTACTTATTTTCTTTTCCGGATGCTCTTTTCACCCCGGTCCGACCTATCGTTCCACCGGTTGTTCGTCCGGATTCGAACGCCAATCCGGGAATTTTTCGCCAATATATACGGGATTTACCCATCCCGTATATATTGCCTGGTTTACCTCACCCGGTGGACCTAGCCATGAAAATAAAGAAAGGACTTGTTACTTCCGACAAGACGGAAACTCGCTGGTTAATTTCATTTAAGAATAATCATATACTTTAATAAGAACTTAATTTAAGTAATTTTCTGACATTTTATAAAAGATACTCCCTCTGTCCCACAATAATAGTAGCGAAGAAAATAAATATACAACGCAACATTTATGGCGATAAAACTAGATTAAATGAAAATATTAGTCGTAATTTCATTTCGAGTGTTCTGGATATTTCAACAAGTTCATTACTGTAGGTAGGATCTGTTGGCTTCGATTCATCGACAACTCCAAGTTATAATTCAACTGAAATAAAACAATTGAGGATGAAATTACAAAAATACTTGTAATTCGTAATAATTAGGTTAAAGCAAAAATTGAAAAATGACGAATGTGACGAAAAACCATTTTGATTGAAGGCCGTATTGACCGATAATTCCTCGCTACTATTATTATGGGACAGAGGGAGTATTTAAGACGTAAAGAGAGAATATTTCGTATAAACGGTAAGTTGTACGAGGTTGTTTTTTCTTGTTTATTAACAAAAGGGAAAAAGAGTGCCTCCTTTTGTCTTTAAGAATAATAATAAGGAAGCTGGTTTGAATTTCGAGGTTCGACATTTATATTTATAAACCTAACAACGATTATTTTTGTTTATTTTAGCCATATGAAATTTTGTTTATTTTAGCCATATCCAAAACTTTATTTAATTCGATGGAAGAAACCATCGAATTAAATAAAGTTTCTATATACGAATCTAAAGTAGTACTAAAGGAAATTCAATACAATGGACCGAATGAATTAAAAACTAAACTTAATTAAGATGAAATCTCCTAGTTTTTCTTTCTTCTTCTTTAAACTTCTTATTTGACAATTATACACACTACTATACTGTATATAAAACACCGAACTTAGCACATCTCTGCGTGTAAACGGCTGCTTTCGATTCGACGTAAAGAAAAATATATGAGAATGGTATTATTCGCTCTGACCAGAAGCCCACCGGTGGCCGAGTGGACGAAATCACCGAATTCGCGCCTGACCCACGAGCTAGACACGTGGAATTTTCCGTGTTTCTTCACGCGTTTAACGCCTAACTAAAGGCTAGTTTTCTGTAGAAAGTCCTATAGGAGTCCTCGCGCTGCATTATCTTATCTCACCAAACTAGAGGCGTAGTAGTAAATTAAACGGTGTCGATGGCCATTGTCTATGGAAGCGCCACGGTCTAAGGAGTTTCGTACGGGCAAAGCGCCGGTTGGTGGCGCAATAACTGCGAAACGGCTTAAGTGTGCCAAGCGCGGCCTGTATATTGGTCATCTGCAAAAAGTAATTTTCTTAGTTTTTTTGGCCGAGGTATATTGTCTAAATGTTGGCAAAGAGTTCACGTGACTACGGCAGTGCGCTACACCCTACCTATTTAGTACGGAACAAAACCTATGAATACGTTCGACTTAAGAAAAGTGTTAAAAAAAGAAGTCTTATTTACCGAGCAAATACTTTAGTTTAAAGGTTTTATAGTTTATAAGAAAAGAAACAAACGAATGAAATATTTACGATTTATAGTTAAAAATATCTTTCTAAAATAAGAGTAAGTAAATTAGAATATTTCTGTGACGTCAGATAAATTGTCGATTGATCGACTGCTTAACACACTCAAATATCTATATTTATCATAGAATTAATGCTCGAGACGGTTCTGTTATAAATAAAATGTCGCAATTAACGTCGAGGCGGTTAAAGCCACTCTGAGGGAGCCGACACGTAATTTTTTATGGACGATCAGTGCTGGGTACGTGGGGATTCGTCCCTCACCACTTTGCTGCCCCACTAGTCAACCTGGCAGAACGGATTAATTAGATAAGGCCATCTGCCGAGAGAACTTTCTGTAGAAAACTGACCCTTATTTAGGGGTTAGACACACGAAGAAAATTTGAAAAGCTACACGCGGCCAGTCCGTTTTTCGGGCGCCAATCCGTCACCACTGTTCAGTGGTTTTATAAACGCGGCCACTCGTAGGTCTTCTGGTCGGAGCGAATAATGACGATTTTATACCATTCTCGTAGATAGGCTAATAACAACGTAATGGAAGGGAAGCGTGCACCAGATCTAAATCTCCGGACTTTGAACTGTTTATTTAAGTAACATATATAAACAAAAACGAAAACAAACCATATAAATCTGGTATAATAGCTGATAAATACTTAGATTTAGTATATGTCTCTTCAATCCGAATGGTTAGCAAACGGTAGACTTACTTTCAGCTCTGAGGTTAAGTATTCCTTTATTGTAAATTACATATGCATTTCAGGCTTGTATGAGCCCCTCTTCAGTGTAAATTCTACACAAAATTTAAAAACAAAAAATCAATTTACAATAAAGGAATACTTAACCTCAGAGCTGAAAGAAAGTCTACCGTTTGTTAACCATTCGGATTGAAGAGACATATACTAAATCTGAAAACAAACCAGGTTTATTTTAACTCGCAAACCTGTCTACGTCTCTATTTGTATTTAAAATTGAAAATTAACAAGGGTCTTTGCTACTTATTTTTGTAAATAAATAAATTAGGAAAAATAAATACGGAAGCGAGCTTTCAATGCCTTTATGCCCGTATTCAACATGTAAGCGTTTACTTTTCGTAGTGGTACAGAGGTGCAAAACCATTTTCACTAGTCGAGGAGGAATCAACTGTCGTGTTGCTTTGCCATTCGACCTAATCCAGGGGTAATGTAGATTATTCTATTGTAATTTGGACGTTGAGGATTCTATACAGAAACGATTTATCAGTTTTAATGCCGAGCAATGTTGCAACGAAGTTAATGTAGCGACTAATTAATCATTTCATCGGACATATTGATCTGCCGAATTAATTTTACAAAATAAATAGATAAATAGGAAGCATTTTCTACGTAATTATAAATATTTTTCAACTCTTAAATCAGAGATCGAGATGGCTCGTTATAATTTTTAAGTTTTTCATCCCGCTTGTAATAATGAGGAACGTTTTTAAATACTTGTCGAGTATCGGCCACCTGACGAGGAATGCGGAGGATTGAAAATTTCTGAAGATCGTGGCGTATGAAAACATAATGTAGAGTTGCTAGATATATATCCTTTCAGCTAACGATTCGCCCTCTTTAGTCCGGTTATTACTAAACTACGGGAATTTTATTCTTCTCTGTATAATAATATTTTATTTGTTTCGTTTGAAGGTTTGGTCTTCGCTGCGAAACACGCGTTGGCATTCTTATACGTAAAATTGCTGAGACTAATCGGTAAGAACAGGAAGGTCGAAGAGGACATTTATGGAGAAGTTACAAACGACTGTGTGTCGCTAGGAGTGTTGCCTCATTCTAGAGAATGGGAAAACGAATTACCTCGTCCAGACCATCCGTCTTCTCAGGTAGGTCATAATTAGGTGGTGGATTTGGGCCATGATTCGGATTCCTCTATCGCATCCTAATCAAAACACTTATTACTCACTATCTCGTTCTGAGAAACGGGTGTTTTGGCCTCACCTATTACGAATCCGGGCGAAAAGATTAACAACAGTCAAAAAAACATCTTTGGAAATATTTGAGAACTTTAACACGACTCAAACGTGTCCAATTGTAGTTGTTAAAATATTTTTCGTACTTTTTCTCGAAACGTAATCTGAGAAAACACAACAAATTTGTAATACGTATATTTTTTAAAGAGAAGCGACGAGATCGCCTTCCACGGTGTCAATTCGAAGGGAGCGTGTCTCGTGACGTATCTGATTCGAAGAGTGGACGATTTTGCCGACGTTTGGCTGTACCTGAAACTAGAAGACGGTCGATGTTACTCTCTGTTGCGTCAACCCATCACCGCCAATTACGTCGGCACGGAGCATTGTTTCGCGGCTCACGGACTGTCGGTCAGGTGTCTGAGTCCCATGCGTCGCTGGAGAATTGGCTTCAATGGACTCCTCAAGTAAGCACTTTTTAAATACTATTGGCGCGTGTATAGAAACGTCGCAATCGGAAAGCAGCTGCACCCCTTTTCCTAGTTAGCCGGGTTGTAAAAAATTTGTAAGGTTCACTGTTTCCTTTCTGCACTCCCTTCTAAAGATTTCTGGATCCTCTGTTAGTCACACGTAAAATTTGTATTTCGGATCGATTTTCCGGTTATCTTGCCCAATAGTAGAGAAATAACGGATAATCGCATAAGTATTTATCCGCGATGGGTACATTCGAAGACTTCTCATCGCCCTGCAACACGGTTTCGTTACTATGACACAGAAACTCACTGTTCTTTCTTTCTCTACGTAGCATATTTGAATGTCGAAAGAAGATTCTGAATTATCTTTAAGAAACATCAAGAAGTGGACTACTTTGCTCCGTTATACCGCATCCATATCTTTCTTACACGCTCGTTCTCTATCGGAATTGATGGCCAACCAATGACCGATATTCACTGATCGAGACGCCAAGATAACGACTAGCGTCGATAAAGTGTGACTTTGTACTTCATATAAACGTCATAAAGATAACTAGAAAATTATCATTTTAGAAAACAGTCTTTCTTTGCTTCAACAAACAATCGATAACGTTCGGTGTTTGTTACGATACCATAGAAAAATAAGTTTACTTTACAATCAACTGCTATAGTTTTTTTTTTTTAAAATAAAAACAATAGAAACCTGTTATCACAATAGAAACTTGATACCAGATTCAATACACGAAGAAGAAAATTCGAATTTCGGGAAATAGTGATAAGTAATTGCTGATTTATAGTTACAAATAAAAATAACACTTAAGATTAACTCTCTTCAGTCCATTGACAAAATAAGCTGTGCGTGTATACAGGCTACCACATAATATTGTATAGGGAAGATGACGGTCATCAAATAATGCTTCGGATACGGGTCTGGTTGTTTCGTGAAGCAGCAAATTCCTTTCATTGTTGAATCCACTTAGATTTTGTTTTTGCTCTTTTCGCCCTCGAGACACTAAGGGAAGTCTCACGGTTTCGGCCGGGTGCGTAATGAAGGTGGCCAGGTTGCGAGGGAACAGACCAGATTTCTGCGCCGAGTCTCAATAGTCATCCGGCCAGTGAGACTCGGTGTAGTCTATCACTTCAGGTTTTAGCCTTCCACCTCGGGGGCCTCGGGAACGAATCTGCTCGGGACAAAAAATTTTAGGAGTTTATCGCGGTGGTCCATACGTCTCTTACCATCTGGCAGCCCATTGTTGCTATGCCAAATCCACGTTGGGTTTGATTAAAGGGTCTTCAGTGCCTACGGGGCAGAAAGAATGAAAAAAAAAACAGATAAAAAACAAATAATTTATCCGTGCATTACGAAAACCGAAAGAAATCTCTTTTGCTTGTCAATTTAATAAGTTTCTATTCGTTTAAATCTCTGGAAATACCTCCAATATTTGATACGATGCCGAAATTGGCGGAATAGAAATTTCATTTCCATAATTACCTCACTCTTAAATTCTTTTTCTTATAAAATATTCAATTTTATATTGACAGGACTGTACCTGCTAAGGATCCTCCGACCGTAACCCACGTGAAATTTCAGTTTACGTAAGTATTCATTTTACTTTTCACGGAACCTTAACCGATTAACCGAAGTTACTTTTTCCACCGTTTCGTTTGAAAATAGAAAAAAAATCACGCGTGAAATTCAAATGTCTTTCATGTAAATTGGTGATTTTCAAAGTCCAAAATGTCACAGATTACTTGACACGCAATCATATACCGGCTACCCAACTGGTATACTAAAGTCTTAGCAGGTAGGTAGCCGGGTTTTAAGAAAATTTGGAAATCACTGGTTTAATGTCCTTCGTTTCGTCCAATCGTTCGAACTATGATCGGTACACTCCGTCAAATTGTACTTAAAACTGTTGTGTTGGTAATCTTCCTCTACGAAGAAAGTCCGGTTCCTACCTTAACGGTTCGTACTTAGACAATTGAATAGAAGAAAGAAAATCAAATGGAATTTGAATTTTTAACGAGGAATTGTCATATTCGACAGGTGGAATGCCACCAGCAGCGTCTACGACTTATTTTACGACACTCCCGTCGATCTAGTTGCTTCGGCTATGGCCGCGGAAAAGTGGAAAAGTAATCTTCCCGACGTAGAAAAGTAAGTACTTTTAATTTCCACTTAATAACTTCTTATTCACACGCGTAATTTTAAATTAATTTAATTATGCCCACGTGTTTATTTTCTTCGTAATTCACCGTCGAATTTCAAAAATAGAAAGGTGCATTCGGATTGAAGGTAATATTTTAATTGAAAGAGCCAATTTTTTCCGCAAGTGTCGCTAATCCCCGAACGGTAAGAGCCTGTACACACTAGGCGTTTTTCAACGCGCGTTTTAAAGAACCAAGAGTTCTATGTAGCCGTACACACTCAAACGCGCCCTTTTGGCCAAGCGTGCGTTTATAGATTTTTGTTAAAACGCGCGTTTTGCGGGCGTTAGCCGAGCCCTTGGAGATATATGTGCTGCCATGTTACCGTACATGCGATCGCGCGTTTTCCCGGCGCTTCTAGATTTACGCCGCCATTTTGCTGTATATTAGATCGCGCGCTTTTGGGTAATATCTACTTTTATAATATGGAGTAAGTCGTCAAATGATTTTATAGACATTCTAAAATAATTAAAAAACTTGGGTTCATATTGTCGTAGTTTTGGATACAACGTCACAAACATTCCATGGGTCAGTCTATCTCGTAATATTGAGTGTACCCAAAATTCTCTTTGCCTCTGCCGTCGTCTTTTATAGCGACGATACAGGAGCCACACACAAGCAATCACTTCCACATCCATTTCCAAACCGAGCCAGTGCGCACGCTCCGCTAAACGCTCGTTTAAAAACGCGTAGTGTGTACACAGCCTAAAAGCGATTAGTTCGGAAGACGGCCACGGAGGAAAAATCGGCGTTACGTTAACAGAAAGCCAATAACAAATTTGCACTTTGACGAGGACGACAATTAGGCGAATTTAATTAGTTTTATTTTGAAATTTTTCTTCCTCTTGACCACACAATTAAAACCGGGATCAAAACGCCTTGATAAATTAAATGGGAGAATTTAAATTTCGGTCTTTTTGGAGGATATAGAATCAATTATTTCTGGTTTTATAAACATTCAACAATTGATATTTATTCATAGACTGAAGACGATGTTAAACAAATACGAGCAATGCGGATGTTTAATGGGAACTGTCACGGTCGACGGCAAAGAGGAGGAGCTGCATCTGTGGGGAACCAGAAGCAGAAGTTATGGTAATTCGCTTTGTAGTCTCTCGTCTGGTAAAGCGGCTTTACACAGAAAAACAAATTGCTTTGTACCTGTATTAAAGTGACCGCACCGGGCAACGCGCCCAATATCGGCTTCTTTCTCAGTTTTCTCTTCCAGATAATTTGTGACTATAGTTTTATATGGATCCCTCGGGCCTGTCGACGTTACGAGTCGCGCTAGGTTTGCGAACGAAGGGTCCACTCGATGCCTGCAAGAACAGAAAAAATGAACTAGTTTCGAATTCGGATGGCTGCTCTACCAACCGGCAGAAGTAGAGTAATCGAAATAACTGCTCTACTTTAACCAGTAGAATAGGAAAGAGCAAACGCAGCACTCTATCATTACTCTAGAGCGGCCACAATTCTCGATAACAAATGATTATTTAACGTTATTTATTGATAGCTTAATTAAGTAGCATTGTTTTTGTCATCCTAATTGGCTGACAATTAAAATGCAAGAAACAGTTTTGGATTATTTCATTCTTAATTGACGAAAAATCAAATATCAGTCAGTCAGTGGCGAGGGACGACTACTCGCGAAACATTCCAGGAGGATCCTGTGTTTCTCAGATAGGCAGGAGGCAGGATGAGTCCATTACCGCCTGGGCTATCTCACCGTGGTATTATTATACGAGAACATTTATTGAACGAGTTGACTAAACAATTTCGCGTTGCACTTTGCGTAATTCAAAACCAGTCATTCTGGACGGAAAGTAGAGATTCGTTTATACTTTGGAGAAGAGGTTTATATGTCCCGATTTTTTCCTATAGAAACGTGGCGTAATTATCGTTAAGTCGGGCTAATCGGGGGTACAATCCGAAAAATGGGTACCACTTCCGTTACCGCCCGACTGTTTTTAATTATGATGTAATTAAGCATAAAAAATGCATAAAAAATACTTAAAACTGAAAAAAAACCGAAAGAAATGCGTTAATTTTGAAGAAAAAGCTTCAAATATTATTTTCCTTTGTCTCGCCTTTCTATGAAATTTAACATGGATGAGTCATTGTTTACACAGCTGGATGACCTTGAACACAGCTGGAGTCGGATTTCCCGGGACATTCTCATATACGTCTCGGGAGGACAAGGGTTTAAAGTAGGGTGAATATGAGTGACACGTATACAGTATTTTTAAATATTTTTAAAAAATTAAGATTTTAATTGCGATTTCCGACCCCCCTAATTAATTACATTAATATATAAGAAAATCGATTAATTAAAAAAATTAAAAAACTATCGGAGGTGGTTTTTGACATCAGAAACTACCGGGTTTCCCCGAAAATAAGACAGTGTCTTATATTAATTTTTGCTCTGAAAAATGTGCTAGGTCTTATTTTCAGGGAATGTCTTATTTTTTCCAGGAAGAAGAATTCACATTTATTATTGAACAAAAAAATTCCCAAGTCGAACTTAGGCGAGAGTGACGTATATCCGGTGTGCCGAACTGTCGCCTTTTTATAGCGTCAACATCGGACTGGATGACCAATTAGTGCTTACTAAACCGTAGCACTATGCAAATGCCATGTGGCGTGATTCCCGGCCGACCAATTAGCCATCACCAGCCGTAACGTTATGCAAATCTGTGATTCCCAAGCCATAGTCTTATGCAAATCATGCCGTGTGGCGTAATTGTCTGCTGACCAATTAGCTGTACTTTCAAAAAGCCAACGGCCACTTTCAACCATCTGTCGATGACCGTTACGACTAAAAGAAACTTTGCTAGGTCTTACTTTCAGAGAGAGGTCTTATATTTCGCAATTCAGCAAAACCAGTGCTAGGTCTTATTTTCTGCGGATGTCTTATTTTCGGGGAAACACGGTAGCTTTAAATAATTTTACCGAAGGAAAATCCGTGCGCTACAACTTAGGAACCATGAAATAAATTTGATAAAAAACTCCCATTAAAAAACAATTAAGCCTTAATCGAGCCTTATCAAAGGCTCATTAAAATCGCGATAAAATTTTTTCGCGCGGACAAAAAATTTTGAAAAAATTTGGGGACCTAAAAAACATTCCAAAAATTGAAAAAAAAAGTTTTTTTGTCAAAAGTGGCCTTAACTACTGAATCTTACGTAACGCTATGTAACCTTGACGAATTGTCTCGTCAATGGGCGTTAAGGTGTTTCGATTCAAAATCACGCGATTCGGTCTCGATACTTTTTATAGGAGGGCTGTTAATGTTTAAAAGGATCTTACTGCGAAGTCTACATCTACGTCAGGATCCTTGACACTAGTTAATCAGTTTTGGATACGCGTTTTCATTCGTGGAGGGAATATGTTTGATTCAGGTACCTGAGACATTCCTTTAACAATAATACTGTAACAAAATTTAATGAGACAAAATAAACAAAATTTACACAAAAATGGAATAATTAAAATGATCCTTTCGAGAGAGAGAGCTGACAATTTCAATGATAATCATACTACCTCTAGATGATTTCTCTTTATCTTCACCTTTAGTTTCTTTATACTTCAGTTCATGGGGAGGTCATGAGAAGCACATAATTATATATACTCTTCTAGTCTTACTGACTTAACTCATTATTAAATTCATGCGGGATACGACTATGAGCGTTGGCCTTCAGGAGATAACTTGGAATACGTCTTCCTTCTATGGAAGTTCGTGGCAAATTAGGCAAAACTCTTTCTATATCGCGTGATTTTCATCCAATTAGCTTTTAGGATTTTCTCACGTGAATAGAGGAAAAGGGGATTTATCGAGGGGTCGACAATTCCCAGGGTGCTGAGATTTTCGGTAGATAAGGGTAAAACAGAAGGATGTTTCGACTTCCGTTAAAAAAAGTGACTTTTTATCCGTTTCCCACGTTTAGAAAAACGATAATTTCACACGAAAAATGAAAGAATATTTTCTTTCAAAATTTAACTTTATAATTAAATTATTAATTAGACACAGGGTCTATTCGGATCTCACATACCTAAAGATCAAATTTATGCCTACGATTAGGACTTGTTCAGTCGGTTCTTAAGCAAATTTTATTTGTCTTTCGGCCGTTATCTAACGTAAGATTTATTGGATTTTACAGGGACTCTACGAACTCAACCCTCTTATCATCATTTGCATCTGGTCGGAATGGGGAAGGTAAGCATTTTAATTTAATCTATTTCTTGGAGATGTAAAAGACGATGGATGTGTTCTCTTATCTGGTAAAAAGAGGAGAAACTAGAAATGCCTTCTAGCTTTATTAAATGCGGATATTTGTACTTTGCAGACGGGTGAGACTGTCAGCATCGGCGCTCTGAACGTCCCCGAAGTGATTTCGGAGTGAGTATTTTTTGTTTTCGTTTTAAACCCTTACCACATTGCGGGCACCGATACGGCCTTATTTGAGCCATCGCCAGTTTGCCAAGTCTACAATGAGGGCGGGCGGATGTCGAGGGATGGAATCGGACATATTCGGGTCAGACCATCCATGAAAATTTCCTGGAGTTTTCGATTTTCTGTGTTTCTCGGAGCGAGTTTCAGTTGTAAATTTCCTAGAGCGGTTAGTAAATTTGAAGTTATTTTGTTTTGGACAGTTTCAAGTATGCATTCGTCACGACGGGCAACGGCTTTCTCTATCCGATCGACGTTTCCGACGTCAGTTTGAGTCGACTCTACTTGGACGGACTCCCTCCCACTGTCAAAGTGGCACGAATACGAGCCCGTAAGTAATTTCTGTGGCATAATTTCTTCCTCATAACCGAGAATTCTCAGCCCTCTCTTATAAGTAAACTCTTGGATTGTGATTTTTCAGACAAGAGATGGTGGAAGATGAACATCGACGGGATGGACGCCAAGACAAGTATCGGGACTACCTACTTCTCCGAATTGCAATTGTCTTCGGCCAGACTGAACGACAAGCAAGCACGCAGCGTCTGTATCTTCTATCACAAGTAAGTTCTGTTTCCGAAAGTTTACCATTGGTTGAAAACTCGATGACGACGTAATTTACCCATAAGCTATGTTCGAGCGTTCTTCTTCTTTCTCGCCAAATACCGGGAACAAAGAAATTAAAACTTCAAATACTATATTCGTGACTAGTCTAATTTAAATCGGTCGACTTACTCCTAATATATTTCCAGGAATCCCTCTTGAACGAAGAGCTTGTATGAAGCTCAGGGGTAGAGCAGGCTCCTTTAGCCTTTTGTTGGTCTGCAATTTGAAAAAAAAAACTGTAGACCTATAAATTGCCACTGTCTTTCCTTAATCTGGAAAACGGAGTTGGATAGATGAAGGAAGAGACCAGATATGGAAATCTAGAGGCAAGAGGACCGGATTGAATATATACTCCGACGCAAACAGAACGTCATATTTCAATTAAAAATTTTTCCTCGAGTGTTAAATGACCGACACAACTCTATTGTTAAAAGAAAAGTATGACGTATAGGGGCCAGACACTACTAATTTGAGGTGGAGAGCATAGATTTCGAACGAAATAAATTAAAGATTGCAGCCCGACATTGTGACCGTTTAGAAATTTACCAAAGCGTATTTAAATTCCTTTCGCCTTACAGTTTAATGCTACTCGCTTTCTTCTCAGCTCGAAGATTTTTCATATTAATTAGCCTTTGGTCCTCTCGTAATTGGGCTACGAATACTAAAAATGAATTATTTTTTAACGAAATTTTAGATTAAGACCAGAAACGATAAGAGAGAGACACGTGCCTCGTTTCGTCCCTCGGATCAAAGGTAATCCTTTGATTTTATCCCGAATTTATACAAAAAACGAATTAATCAGTTTAAAATTTTCCCACAGATAACGAAGAAGTGGGGGCAATTTTGGTGACGTCGTTGCAAAATTCGACAACGAATCAATCGTCGATCCTCGGGGGAAAAGGAAGTTCTCTGGTCGATTTACATCAAATTTCCGATATTGAAAACAGCGTAAGACAGCGATTTTACAAATGTTTATTTTCTTAAATGTTAGGCGTAATTTGCGAAAATCTAAACAATTTTTCAGTTTTCCGTGCCGAAAGGAATCGTAATAACTTTCAACGCGTATCGAGAGTTAATCAGAGATGAAGGATTACTTCTTCGGATTTCCCAATTGGAAGATGCCGCTTGGTAATTTGCCAACGAAATAAGAAATTTGACATTTTTCCATAAAAATAATGTTGTTTTATCTAAGAAAAATCACCTTTAAAGGTCGTCTGATTACTTTCTTTGCAGGGGTAAAACTGGCGAAGACATGAAAGAAATTTGCTCACAGTCAGTGTCAAATTGTTTCTTTGGAAATTACGTTTCCTCGTAAACTGAAAATAATTTCATTTCAGAACTGTCGAATACCTGAAAGAATATTCTTTACCCGTGTCCTTGGCTTGGGTTCTCCACGAGAAGTTCATTCAAGTCTTCGGAACAGAATATACGTCACTCCCCTTTGCCGTCAGATCTTCGGCCCAGGGTTCGAATCTTTTTCGTTAACGTAATAATGAATATTCGGGGAATTTCGAAACGGTCGATTTATTCTTTTAGTAAAATCGTTTTTCGGCTTTATAATGAAGCTATTGCGGTTTTCCCACTCGGTAATTCAAGAAACACGCCTAAAACAATTCATTTATCGAGTCTTTATTAATTTTAAAAGTTTAATTTAAAAAATCGTATAATAAAGCCATTTTCATACTGCAAGTTTTAAGAACCCCTTTTACCATACTCTTTATTGGGTTTGACCGAGCGTGCAATGGGGTAGGCGGCTGGTGAGGGGCGAGATCCGATATATTTGGATCGAACTAAGCCAGAGAATTTCCCAGTCGGCTCGAAGTGTAACCCGAGTGTTAATTCTTTTATCGTCAATGAAGAATATTTTATTTTGCTCACTTTTTAATTAATATAAATGCGTTGTAATTAGGGAAATATTTTCGTTTCCAGGAGAAGATTCCGAAGATTTATCGGCCGCGGGGCAAATGGAAACGTTTCTCAACGTAACTGGAATCCAAGAGGTAAACGAAGATATTTGCATGGAGAATGACGCGTTTTATTTTAGAATTTAATTCTTTAGCGTGTGTTCGATTACTAGTTGTTCGGTCCTACTGTAATCTTTCGCGCACTCGTCATCTGTACAGGTTCTCGTTTCGTTTCGAAAAGTTTATGGAGACTGACGTTTCTCGTTACGTGTATTTTCCACCATGATTCACCCATCAGTTTTTGTATGGCTTCCTTTCTGGTCTTTCTTCAATTCAATTCAATTCTTTTATTAAACACCCTGTAGGTGCATTCTCAGTACCGTTTAATACATAGCTGAGAGATATATGCACATTATTTATCAAAATATATTTCGCAGATGAAGAAACCGCTTAACATATTGTAAGTAAACAAAAGACGGCGGAGTAGTACATTATTAGTATAAAGTTACATATCGATATCACAGTAGTGAATTAAGATAGAAATACAAGTTTTTGGTGTA